AGCCGTCCATTTGTGGTATTTCTGTTATAGCAGCACTAGATAACTAAGATAGCTAGTAATGGGCCCAGACCCTTCAGGAATGAAGGTTTCGGTCACCCCACCAGGCAAAGAACCACAATCAGCTGAGGTGCTTGCTGAGGGCAAAGCGTATACAGAATGGATGGTCGAAGATGGTAGTTCTAAATACCAGTTACAACCACGTGAGCAATTGCAGAAACTAGGACTGTAATTGTTATGAGTATTCCTTTCTTGCATGTGTGCATCAAATCATTTTGTTTTCTTCACCTATAAAATATAAGATATAAATGGGACGAGTGTGTTTGCGGTTGTATGCATGTTTGTTGTATCATATTAGGTGCAAGTATGACTTTGTAATTGTCTTTAGAGATTGCGTATGGTTTAAGGAGATGTGTACAGGTGCCAGTTTGACAAGGGGTGCACTATGATGGTTAAGGTTATGTGTCAACTTGCCTGGGCCATGATTCTCAGTGGTTTGGCAGTTATGTAATGTAGTTTGGCACTTATGTAATAAGCATTTATCCTCCATTTTGTAAAATATAATGTAATCACCTCCATGATGTGATCTGATGTGATCAGCCAATCAGTTGTAAGAGGAGTTTCCTCAGTAGTGTGGCCTGCAACCAGTATACATGGACGTTATGGCTAAGCTTGATGGCTTTTGTTCGCTCTGGATCTTGCATCTGGATCACCATCATCTGACCTCCAGTTCTTGGAACTTGAGCCAGCAGCCTGCTTTATTGCCTACATATCTTGTAGTTCATAACCCCTGCAGCTACATGAGTGAGGAGAAGCCTCCAGCCTGATGCCTGACCTACAGACTTGGGACTTGTCAGCCTCTACAACCACGTAAGCCATTTCCTTGAGATCAGTCTCTCTCTCTCTCTCAGTTTTGCTTCTCTAGAGAACTCAGCCTAAGACAGGGGCATAACAATCCTAAATGTTATGCATAAAATAACATAGCTTCAAAATACATAAAGCAAAATTGATAGAACCAAAAAGAAAAATAGACAATTCTACATTTATATTTGAATATGATGCATAAATCCAGCAGACACAAAGCAACACAGATGTGAAAAAAAAATGAACATTATTAATCAACCTAACTTACTTGACATTTATAGAACACTAAAACCAACAATTGAAGAATACACATTCTTTCACATGCGGATTTATGGAACATTCACCAACATAGGGTATACGTTGGGCCATAAAAAAAAATAAGTAGAATCAAGATGATTGAAGTCATATAGAACATGTTCTCAAATCACACTGAAATTAAAATATTAATAAATGACAAAATATAACTAGAAAATCCCCAGTAGCAACATCCTTCTAAATAACCCATGGGTCAAAGAAATCACAAGAAAAAAAATAGAAAATATTTTAACCAAATAATTATAAAATCACACATGAAGCAGTGCTGAGAGAGAAATGTATAGATTTTTTATACACTTATTGAAAAGAAGAAAAATTCAAGATCAATGATGTAAGCTACCAACTCAAGAAGCTAGATAAAGAACAGAAATAAAACCCAAAGGCAATAATAATAATAAGGATAAGAGTGGAAATCAACAAAACGGACAAGCAGTAGAAAAAAAAGCAATAAAACCAGAAGTTGTTTTTTAAAAAAGATGAATAAAGTTGATAAATATCTAGCTAAACCAAATCCGAACTGATTGCCATCAAGTCGATTCCGATTCATAGCGACTCAATAGGACAGAGTAGAACTGTCCCATAGGGTTTCCAAGGAGCTGGTGGATTCAAACTGCCAACCTTTTGGTTAGCAGTGGAGCTCTTAACCACTGCGCCACCAGGGCTTCTAATATCTAGCTGCACTTAAAGAGAAAAATATGTAAGTTATCCTGCTCAGTAGTGAAATAACTTTAAATTCTACAGTTATTAAAAGGATAATAAAGAAATATTATGAACATGTTTATACTAACAAATTTGATGACTTAGTTGTTATGGACAAATATCTTTTTAAAAAAGTTTCTAAAACGGACAGAAGAGGAAACAGAATATGTGATTAGCTAAAGAAATTGTAATAAAAAACTTTCTCTTAGAGAAAACTCCAGGCTCAAACATTTAAGGAAGAAATAATTGTACACAATTGTACACAAATTCTTTCATAGCATAAAAGAAGTGGGGATGCTTTCCAACTGATTTTTTTAGGTCAGCATAATCAAACTTCTGGAAGAAAACATAGGAAGGAATTTTCATGAGTTTGGGATAGGCAAACATTTCTTAGACAGAACACAAAAGATAAAATTATTGACGTTCAAAATTAAAAACCTCTGCTCTTCAGCAGGAGGGGACAGGAAAGCTGGTAATAGGGAACCCAAGATTGAGAAGGGGCAGCGTTGACATGTCATGGAGTTGTTAACTATCGTCATAAAACAATATGTGTACTAACTGTTTAATGAGAAACTATTTGTTCTGTAAACCTTCATCTAAAGTACAATTAAAATAAATGAATTTAAAAAATTAAAAACTAAAAACCTCTGCTCTTCAAAAGACACTATGAAGAAAATCAAAATGAAATGCTAAGTGGAAGAAAATATTCACAAACCATTTATTGATAAAGGATGTATATCCAAAAGTATTAGAGAATTATTATATATTAGGAAGTTATTGTAAATTTTGTTAGGTGTTGTGTTAGTTTCTGATTGCTGCTGTAACAAATTACCTCAAATTTGGTGATTAAAACAACACAAATATAAATTTTATATATATCTGTATCTTTCAGTTCTGGAAGCCAGAATTCTAAAATCAAGGTGTAGGTATTGCTGCATTTATTCTGGAGGCTTCAGAGGACAATCCATTTCCTTGCCTTTTTCAGCTTCTAGAGGTACCTAAGCAGTTCTGGTGGCCCAGTGGTTAAGCACTTAGCTGCTAACTGAAAGGTCGGCGGTTCGAACCCACCAGCACCTCTTTGAGACAAAACCTGGTGATATTCTGTAAAGACTTCAGCGTAGGAAACCCTGTGGGGGCAGTTCTACTCTGTCACATGGGGTCGCTATGAGTCGGAATCGACTTGACGGCACACAACAACCACAAGAGGTCACCTGCATTCCTTGGCTCATGATTCCTTCCTCAAATCGTCTTTGAAAGCTGACATCACATCTCCTGCTACTGATTCTGATCTCCTGCCTCCTTCTTATAAGGATCCTTGTCATTACACTGGGCCCATCCAGGTAATCAGGATAATCTTCCCATTTCAAGATCCTTAACTTAAAACACATCTGCAAAGTCCCTTTTACCATGTAAGGTAAAATATTCACAGGTTCTAGGGATCAGAATGTAGGCACCTTTGGGGGACCATTATGCAAGCTACACAGGTGTCGTAATGATGTTGTGGTTATGTAGGAAACTATCCTAAATTCTAAGAGATGCATATTGGTTTATTTAGGAGTGAAATGTCATGATGTCTGTAAATTACTTTTAAATACTTCAGCAAGAAAAAGAAACATTTGTGGCAAAATGTTAATAATTGTTAAGTCTGGGTGATAGTTCATTAGACTCTTCTCTTTTTTTAGTATTTGAGTTTTTCATAATAATGTTTTAACTTCAGTGAAAAAATATTGAAATGCCATATTTGGGGTTTAGAAAGCTTACACACTAGCCTATTGGTAGATGGTTTCCAAAGTGTATGTCCAGTGGACGCAGATTAGTTAATTAGTTACTGCAATAGCTCTGTTAAAAAGAATGCAGTGGTTTGGGCCAGGGGGAGTGGAGAGAAGTGGATGGATGTACAATATATTTTGCAGGTGGAAACCATATGATTGCTGAAGGTTTTTAGGGGAATGAGGGTAAAGGGAGCATTGTTATTGTTAGTTGCCGTCAAGTTGATTCTGACTTATGGAGACCCTATATGTGCAGAGTAGCACTGCTCCATAGGGTTTTCAAGGCTGTGACCTTTCGGAAGCAGATTGCTAGGCCTGTCTTCCGAGGCGCTTCTGGGCGGGTTCAAACTGCCAACCTTTCAGCTAATAGTCCAGCTCTTAACCGTTTGCACCTCCCAGGGACCATAAAGGGAGCATTAAGGATAATAAAAAATAATAGACTGAGTTTATCGAGCACCTACTGTCCGGTCATTACACTTGATCTTAGCCAAAAGGCCACAGAAGACTAAAGAATTGATGCCTTTGAATTATGGTGTTGTTGAAGAATATTGAATATACCACTGACTGCCAGAAGAATGAACAGGTTTGTCTTGGAAGTACAGCCAAAATGCTTCTTAGAAGAAAGGATGGTGAGACCTCATCTCATGTACTTTGGACGTGTTATCAGGAGGGACCAGTTCCTGGAGAAGGACATCATGCTTGGTAAAGTAGAAGGCAGACCCTCAAGAAGATGGATTGACAAAGTGGCTACAACGATGGGCTCAAGCACAGCAGTGATTGAGGATGGCGCAGGACCAGACAATGTTTCTTTGTGTTGTAACATAGGGTCGCTATGAGTTGTAACCGACTCCGACGGCACCTAACAACACTGCCGAGTCATTGTTTCTAGGTAATCCTCACAACAAATATGTGAGGTAGGTACAATTCATACCCACATCTTATACACTTCTGCCTCACTTTAGGGGTTAGCCTTCGAATTGGTATATCTTATCCAGCCCCCTAACTCCCACAACTGCAATCCTTTTCGCCAATCTTGGGACTAGACAAACTTGGGGGTAGCCACAATGGTCCTCGGGATGGGGCTTATGTCAAAAAGGAGCAGGACAAGGTGGGAATTCTATGAGACACCGGGAGGGGGTGGAATGGGGGTTAGGAAGGCACCTACAGGGGCGGGACACTAAAGCCAGGCAAGACGCTGATGAGGGTGAAGAGTCAGGGGTGGGCTTCTTGTCACTAGGTCCGTGATTGGCCCAGCTGCCGAGGGAGGGTTATGCAGATCCCGCCTCGCTAGCCAGTGGGAAGCAACAGCCCTTTTAATCGTCCCTGGCCACTATCGCTACAGTTTCTGCGACTTAGACCATGGAGCGAGCGCGCGGAGCCCGGAGCATGCCGCGTCCGCCGTGGCCTGGGGGCCCCGGGGTGCTCCGGCTGCTCGTTTGCTTCCTGCTGCTGAACAGCCGCCCGGGGGGCTGCAGCGACATTAGTGCCAACGGTCAGGAGGAAACATGGGGGCGTGGGGGCAGGGCCAGGTAGTGATCCTGAGAGAAATGGGCGAGGAGACCTTAAGGTTAGGGAACTCATGAGAAAGATGTGTTTGGGGGAGCGAGAAGAGAGAAATGCAGAGAGAGTCTAGGAGGAAGAGTTCCAGGCTCGGAATGGGGTCCGGCTTATGGGGTCTGGACCTAAGAGAAGCGGGCTCAGGGGAAGATTGGGGGTTCCGGAGGGGAAAGGGAAGATAAATGGGCAGAGAGAGGTAGAACCGGCCTACGAGGTCACAGGAGAAGCGAGGTGCGTGGTGGCCAGGGAAGAGAGGACCCCCGCTGAGGGAGCGGCAGTGGACTGAGATCTCTCAGCAGTAGGAGCAGAGGCCGCCGGTATCGAGTCCTGGCTCTCGGGAGAAGGTTGGGCTGAGAGACGAGCCCACAGAGCTAGGTGCCTGCGATCTGATTTCCAATAAAAAGGGGAAAGCCAGGCTGAGGCTAAAGAGGATGGGGGAGGGGAGGTCAATCCTTCTTTCTCCCTCTCCCACCTGCACCAACCTAGGTAGGATACAGAGCTGACTCACGGTCAGAGGCAGACTGCGCAGACTCTAGAATTCCGGCGTCGGGGGCGAGGGGTGGGAGAAGAGCGCGCAATTTCCTGGTCGGATGTTCACTCTCCCACCCCATTCTTGGGTTTAGAGGCCAATGCTGAAGGCTCGCGGAGAACTGTGGGAGGAGGCCTAGTGGCAGCTGAGGGGAGGGAGACTATGGTCATGCCAGGCGGAGAAGCCTCGCTCTCCAACTCGAGGCTTCCGCCACTTCTCAGAACCACGGAGAGCGCCAGCCGCGCTGTGAGTGCGGGCTCCCGCCAAGGATGTTCAGTGTGCTACTCATTCCTATGAATTCTGGGAGCGCTGCCTCCTAGAACGGTTTCTGCTCCCAGAAACTCTTTTCCTTCTCAGTAGGATGCTGGAGGTTTTGCTCCTTCCACAAACCAGGATATTGTTGTTACGACCCATTTAACTGGGAAGAATTCCCATTTCTTAATACCTGTCCATAATGACTTACGGTAATTCCACTATCGGAAAAAATGGACTCTTCTCCAACCCTACCTTATCTACCTGGAAGAAGGAAGGTGTATATAGCAGTAGGGGTTATTCCTCTCCTCACTCTCTCCCTAATACACAACTGGGAAAACTGGCTTTCAGGAAAAGGACCTAGACACTCAAATCCTATACATCCTAATACTTTCTTCTTCTAGGGATTCCAGACCTCTTCCCTAATCCCTCCCAGGAATAAAATTCTTCCCTAATATGCAGCTCACCTGCTTCCCCATACCCCACCTGACCACCTGATTGTCCATCCCATGTGTGTATCTTTCTGAGCCTCTGCTCACCTGAACCTCCATGAGCTGCTCTTTGCTTGTAAGCTTGAGCTTACCTGAAACTTGGTACCAAGGATGAGTAAGACCCAGGGGTTGAAAAACAGGGCAGGTAGTGATGGGGGAAGGGAAAAATGAGAAGTAGGACTTGAAAGGGAGAGAGGGCCTGGTGGGGGAACAGAGACCAAGGGATCCATACATAATAGTGGAAGGAATCTGCTTCTTTTAAAGTGGGTCTTTGGAAAGCTTTTGGCCAAACTCCTCACTGACACCAATATTGTACCCTTAGATGGACAGGGCCAAGTGGGACTGGGGCATCTCTGGCCCCTACAAGGATTGACCACCCCAGTCTTCTGGCACTTGCAAGGTGTATTTCAGCAGATTATTCCCCAAGGTAAGTCTAGGGGAGCCAGAGAAGAGATATTGGGGCCAGGTCAGTTATGGGGGTGGGCAGTGAGGGGCTGTATGACCTGAGGACAGGCTTTCTCCTCCCCCAGATGTCTCTACCTGAACTTTCCTGTCACACTCACCTCATGGAGGAGGGACAAGACAGGAGTAGGGGTGGAGTCTGGGTAGATGGATTGCTTGTATTTGAACACCCTGAAGGGCCAAGCAGAGGCCTCTAGAAGGACACCCTGGAAGAGATCAGCACCCAACTCTTTGGGATCAGCCAGAAATTTTTTCAGAGTCAGAAATTCTGGGGTTCTAAGCCAGGAGAACACACACACACATCACACTTCAGGCTTTGGGGAGACAGCAGGGCAAATTGTCAGACAAATAGAGGGAGGACCAAAGACGGGTGGAGAGTCCCTTGGGAACAGGTGACTGACCCTTCCTTAGAACAGAGTTTCATAACTGAGGGAGAATCAGACAAGAGATCTGCCTTGAGTTCATATTACTAATAATCATAGTGTCTAATATGTGTATAATGGCTTAGAGCAGTGGTTCTCAAAGTGCATGCCCAGACCAGCAGCATCAGCATCATCAGGGAACTTGTTAGAAATGCAAATTCTTAAACCCCAAATGGTTAAGCACTGAACTACTAACTGAAAGGTTGGCAGTTCAAACCTACCCACAGGCACCTCAGAAGACAGGCCTGGCGATCTGCTTCTGAAATGTCGCAACCTTGAAAACCCTATGAAGCAGTTCTACTCTGCACACATGGAGTCTCCAGGAGTCAGAATCAACTTGATGGCAACGAACAACTACATCCCAGACCTACCGAACCAGAAACTCTGGGATTGGAACAGCAGTCTGTGTTTCAGTAAACTCTGCAGGAGATACTGATGCACACTGACATTTGAGAACCACTGCTTTAGAGTTTTCTAAGCACCCTTTACATCCCTAATCTCATTTAACCCTTCACAATAACATCAAATGAATCAGCAAAGAGATTATCATAATTCTAACTGAATATTTACTACATGCCAGGCACTGTGCTAAGCAACTTTTATACACCATCTCATCTCCACCATATGTGAGCCTATACGCACTTTAGGGAGAGGGGAAGTGTTGATCTCACTCTAGTCCCTGGAGTGGGCCAGTCAGAGTATCCTAGGTGTCAACTCACCCCTTCCTTTAACCCTGCAGGACTGTTATGGAAGGATGACATCACCCAGGATGTGATGACCCAGAAAATGGAGCACATGTCCAGACGTCACCCCCCAGAGCCCTGCCTGAGGGATGGGAAGGCAGCTTTTCCCACCAAAACCACCGGGATGAGGTGTGTGAGACCTGTGGTTCGTCCATGCTGTCTGGTGGGCTGATGGAACAGGAAAGGGAGTGGGTGCGAAAACTGCTGGTAGGAGCTTCCAGGAGCACTATGAGGAGAATGATTCTGAGGTCCTGCCTGAGATCAGCGGGGAACAATCCCATGATCTTTATCTAGTGATATTTTCAAAGTGAGGGGAAGTAGACGTTAGCAAACGCAGGTCCTATTTGTCATCCCTGTCTCTTCTAGGGGCAAGCAACAGGAGAAACTTCGACTCTTATTCCCCAAGGTGAGACTCATATTTCTTCTCAGAAATTTTGAATCCATATCTTTGGATTCCATCTCTTTCCCTCTTTTATGCCTCCTTCTTGACTTCTGGCTCGCCTCCTCACAGAGCCCAGTGACCAAGGTGAACAGGGGTCCATGTTTTACCTCCAAATTAGTTCCGAAGGCCCTGAAACAAGAGGTGGCCTACCCTATTAAGGTGAGGGGCTGGGTTTTTCTGGGGAAGGTGGGTATTTTTAAATGAAGGCCCTTTTTAAATGAAGTGAGTGGGTATGAAAGAGGGAATGGGTATTGGGCTGTGAACAGATAAACTGAAAAAACAGCTTTTCTTTCCCTATCAGAGGCTGTCCCCACTTTCCTGTCTTTCTCACAGCCCACCTGTGAGTATCCATATGAGTGATCAGGGTAGGGTGGAGCACTTGATGCAGGTGCTGGGAGCTTCTAAGGAAGAAATGATCTATAATGTGATGTATAGGAATTGAGTTTGAAGGGACTGCAGAGTTTTCAAAATTAAATAAAAGGTCCTCCTTTTGGCTAAAAGAATCTTGCATGTGGCCCCACTTCCCCACCACATTCCCTTGTACATTACATGTGATAGCAAAGCTCCTTTGGATAAATGGGAGAAGGTAGCCCAGAGTCCCTCACACTCAGCACCCCCTTGCTCTGTTCTGTGCCTTGGGTAAGTCACCTGGGCAAGGCTCTGAGGCAGAAAGTTGGAAACCTTAAACTCTTCAGAATCCAAATTGAAAACCACTCACCTAGTATTCTATCTATCTTTATAAATGAGAAATTGGGGCCCAGGCTGTTCAGGGGCTTACTCAAAGTTGCATTGTGTGTTCATGATGGAGCCAAGCCTAGACACAGGTCCCCTGGTTCCCAGCCTTTCCCCTTACACAGCCCCTGTCCTTCTTCTTAAGGACTCCAGTAGGGATTGGGCTATTCCAAATATCAGACTCTTCCACACTGAGGAAGGCCTCTCTGAGGAGGTGACACTTAGACTAAGACCTAAATGACAAGAAGGTGGCAGTCAGAAGAAGACATAAAGGAAAGGCATTCCAGGAAGAAAGCATTACAACTACAAGTGCCCTGAGATGAGAATACCAGGCATGGCACGTTAGAGTAATAGAGAGAAGAGTCAGTGGTAGAAGATGAGGCTGGAGAAGTAGGCCCAGGACTGACCATACAGGGCCTCGTAGATCATGATAAGTGGTTTGGATTTAATTCTAAGTGCAGTAGAAAGTCAGTGGGAAATTTTAAGGAAGGGAATGTCATAATGTGATGAATAATTTTAAAAGGCCACCCTAGTGATGGAGTCTTTGTGAGAAAAGCAAGAGTGAGAACTGATAGACCTGTAAGGAGATGACCCTGACCCATGGGAGACTGTGGTGGCTTGGACTGGGGTGGTGGCAGTGGAGCTGAGCACCCCAGCTGGCTGTGCACTCCATCCAGAGGCAATCCTGCACCTCAGGGGGGTTCCAGCCCCTCATGTTCTCCAAGGAAACTGGTCCCCACTCCCGTCATGTGGCAGCTGGGCATCTTGAGCCTGGATTGGTTGCCGGGGCAATGTAATCAGAGCTAAGTGTCAGACCCACCTCTGGGGACTGGTTGCTGTGGTGCTTCCAAGAATGCAAACAAGAGCTGCCAGTCTTCTCCAGCTCCACACCTAAAGGAAAATCACTGGAAAGAGGGGAGTTATATGTGGGAGCCAGGAGGACAGGCATTCAATTGGTGGGCTGAGTCACTATGTTTAAGGTTTACTCAAATCGGGCTGTCATTCCAGCCTGCTATGCATTTTGGGAAGGAGAGTATGAGGGAGGGGCTGCCTTCCCACAACCTAATTCCAAATCCCTGGTTCTTCTTGTTTTAGGGCTTCTTTGAACCATTCCCCACTGTGGGCCACAACCTTGTAGCTGACTGAGAATACAAGCGAAGCCTCCCTGCTTCACCACCCTCCCCATTTCCCTCCAAAGGGGCACTTCTACGAAGACCCAAATCTGGATCATTAAAGTGAACTTTCATGCAAACGCTTTCTGTGAGCTTGTCTTTTGGTAGGATGGATGTGGATTGAACCTGGCCAGAACCTCTTAATGAGAGAAGGGGGGCCATAAAAGAGGGTGAGGGTGAGGACAGCACAGCAACTTGGTGATGATAAAGGACTCTGTCTTAGGCTGGGTTCTCTAGAGAAGCAAAACCAGTAAAG